TTTCTTAAGCAATTCGTAGACCCAAAGAGGTGCTCCAACCACCCCAGCCCCATCAGGTCCAGCTGAATGATTTGGAGTGTGGAGAAGGAGAGAAGGCTGTCCTGCTGGATCCCTTAGTAGTAGAGTAGGTAACGTGGGAGGTTCCCCCTTATGCTAACAGTCCTGAATAGGGATTCTAGTACCCCCGATTATAATCCCTATTACGGACTGTTAGTATAAGGGGAGCAACCCAACGGATAACCTTTAACCTTTTGGGGTATTCTAATCCCGTTAAAATCCCAAAGGTTAACCTTTAATTCGTCCAGGTTGCTGGACAAGTCAGATTCCAGGTAGGACTCTGGGATATGGTTACTATGTTTCCCTTCTGGGGTTTGAGAGGGTATGTCTTTTTGCCAGAGCGACATTTGCTTGTGAGAGGGTATACACGACTTCTCTCATTGGGCTTAAGAAGATATGTTTTTTTGTATGAAGATTCTTCAGAGAGCAACTGCAGAAGGTAGGACCCTGAATCCTAAGCCCTGTTTGGGGTTGTTGCTGGGGCTTTCAGGGGCCAGTCTGAGATAGGATGGTCAAGAGGGGCCAGTTAACAAAACTCATGACCATGTGTTGATCATATTTCGTTATCAGAACAAGAGGTTCACAAATCTGTGCATTCTGTTTTCTGCTCATTTCATTTTTCAGAATCGTGAGCTTGGCGCTTGAGGAGGGGGGGGGGGTCTGGGGGAGTGAATCCAGGTACTGCTATGGGTTGTATAGTGGTATTGTACAAGCATTGGTGTATGGATCCCAGCCATCAGGGAAAGATAGTCCCTAGTTTTCAGGGTTCGGGATGTGGGGTTAGGGTTTGGGTTTAGGTTTCTGGTTTAGGGTTACATTCAGCACTGAGAGGTGTGCACTTGAAGCTTCATGGGTGCTGTTGAAGTGGGCCTGTAGAAGTCGGGGCAACCATAAAGTTATCATCTGCCCTATCCCTAAACCCTAAGCCCTAAACTCCAAACCCTACGTAGATCTGGACCGTAAACCCCTAGCTAGCCTTGAAACCCCTAAATCTCTATGCCTTCAACCCCTGAGCCCCGAAATCTCCTACAATCCCGAAACCCCCTGGCCCAAATCTTTCCTTCCCCAGCCCCCCCCCCCCCCCCCCCCCAAACCCCTAAACCCCTAAACCCCTAAACCCCTAGACCCCTAAACCCCTGAACCCCTAAACCTCTAAACCCCTGAACCCTAAACCCTAAACCCTAGCACTAAACCCTAAACCCCTCAAAACCCCCCCTAAGTCTCCCCAACTTGCAGGATGTTGTGGCTGAGCTCTTCCGGCACCCCAAGATCCGCACGCTGAATGTGGACGCAAACCCCAGGTGAGCTCGCGAAAAACATCCTTTTTAACCCCCTCACCCCCAAATTATGGGTTTAGGGTTTAGGGTTTGGGGTTTAGGGTTTAAGGTTTAGGGTTTAGGGTTTAGGGTTTATAAAATGAAGTCAACATGAATCTAGAATTTTGGGCAAGGAAAGAAGGGAAGCGTGCAAGTTTTGCTGCATTTTGCGGGCTTTTTGCAAGGGCACAGCTGATGATTGAGGACTTTTCCAATCGAACTCTCTCGATCTTTAAGGGAAATAAGCTGAATGGATTTAATAGGCAGTAGACCAACCTGCATGGACCGACCTGCATGTAGGGTTGAGGGATTCGGGAAGTTGTCAAATTTAGGGCTTCGTATCAGGTGCCGCAAGGAAGGCAACCTTTGAGCAGTTTCCCTCGGAACCTGAACATCGTTTAGCCACCGAAATGGCCCCAAAACCCAAACCCTAGACCCTAATCCCTAAACCCTAAACCTTAAAACCCTCAGCCGGAAATCTGCAAAGGAAACAGTGTGGGAAGCCTTAAGCTTCGACAGAGGCTAAACCCCTAAACCTTATAGGAGTGATCACTGAGAGGTTCTAAATCAAAAAGGCTCCCATTACCCAGCTACCTACCCCCCCCCCCCTGAAACTCCACCCTATACTCTCTCAACCCTAGCTTAACGCCTTCTACCCTGGACCCTCCCTGACCTCACAGGCTGTGTGGCTGCGTGCCTGCCAAGACAAGGGCGAGCCTTTACAGCAATCGAGGGCGATGGGTTTGGGGTGGAGGGTGGTGCCGATGGAGGAGCTTAGGGCCAAACGCTTCCTAAACTTCTTCAATCCATGCAGGTTTTGATGTTTGGAGTGGAACTTGGGTTTGGAGTTCATTGTCCTATGTGATTGGCGCACACTCACTCATTCCCAGAGAGTCCCAATCTGAAATAATTATCTAATTTTCTTCAAACAGCATCAGGACCCCTACTCATCACGGTTGTCAGGATTTGTTCTTAGTCTTCGGGGTGTGGGCCCCGTACCCGCTGCGTAGCACAGCAAGTGCCCGCAAAGCCCCAAGCCCTGAACCCTAAACCCGGAATTTCTGAACCTAAAATCCTCAACCCTACATTATAAGCCATAGACCCTATGAATCATCATTTTGGGGCAATACCAGCCACTTGAAAATCGACAGACGAGCCATTTTCCCCTACAAAGCTCACCCCCCCCAAACTTCTAAGAGGCTACAAGCTCAATCACCCCGTGGCACCGGCAGCATTCCAAATTGTGGCGCCTTACACATACATATATGTACATATGTATATGGAATATGCAGATGTCATACACATAAAGCGTCTAACCCGAAACCCCGAAGCCCTAAACCATCAACCAGAGATGTTTGTTCTACTTGGGGTGAGGAGGCATCAGGATTTGCTTTGTTGATGTGCCTACTGACCTGTCGGTTCCCCAAGCTATTGTTGGCTCTAAACCCTAAACCCTAAACCCTGAACCCTAAACCCTAAACCCTAAACCCTAACCCTAAACCCGCCTGTGCATCGTGTTCGCTCCAATCTCGATCATCTCGTGGAAGGCTTCCGTGCTCGCGCCGCTTAGGGGTCTACACAGAGTCTACACCGACATCGAATTTCTGTTTCCCGTCCCATGTGCTCCTCACTTTTGCAGATCCCGAACCCCTAAACCCTAAGCCACCACTCTTCCAACGATACTCCGAGGAATCTCGAAGCCCAAGTTGGCGAAACACAGATCAAGGCCGGGAAAAAAAGGAGGCTGTAACGGGGGTTGGGGTGTTAGTGATAGGGTGAGAGGGTTTCGGGCCTCTTTGGTAGGGAGCTCCCGTAGGCCCCAGTAAGCCCTCCTGCTCTGATATATGTACAGATATATGCATATATGTATATATATATATGTATGTATGTGTACATGCATAGCTTTTCTTTGTTTACTGCCATCTACTCATGATACATTCAGTTTTCTTTTGAGGTATACATATACATATATATATATATATGTATACATATGTGTACCCTGAAGCCCAAACACCACACCCTGTGAACGACGTCGATCCCTGCATCGTATTTGCGACGTGTCTGGGCTGCTGCCCACTGTAGCAAGTCGGGAAGGCGTTCAGGGAAGCTAGTGGCGAACTTTTTGAAGCAAGACTACTGTTGCTTCAGAACCCAAAAACACAGAATACCTATATTGCCCTTACAAGGAAGATTTCTTTTTTGGGCAGGGGGGTTAGTAAGCAAATAATACCAGAGGGTTTGGGGATTCGGGGTTTGGGCCCCTGGTGACTTTTTTCTTGGGGAAGGTTGCGCGGGTTGATATGGTTCTGGGCCTGGTCTTGGGTTAGAGCTACCAAGGAATCAGCGACCTGTCCCTGCTGATCCACGTTAGGTGGGCTGCGACGAGAAGGAGGAGCTGTGAACCACGGCGCTCAACAGCTTGTGCTAGGAGGCCTACACGATGGAGGAGGCTTTTGTGCATTTGGCGCCCAAGCGCGGACGTCGGCAAGGAGGTGCCAGTGCCCGTTGCCTTGAGGGCACTGGCCGGCAAGTTGTGGGACGTCTGATACGGAGGCCTGCGTGTGAAAAAAAATCCGTCCGCGAGTGAACATGCTGGGCGTGCGACTTTGAATGCATCGCCAAGTCGTGAAAAAGGTTTGCGGTTGGCAGACAACAACAACTTAACCAGCCTGGCCCCGTGATTATTGCTCGCAGTGTTCCGGCACGTTGCAACATGTTGTTTCGTCCCGGCATAACCACGTACATGAGAAATTTGCACAGGAGAGTATAAATCCACCGGACTCGTATCTAGGAAGGCCGCTTTTGCCCTAATTTGGGGTCATATACCTTGTCTACTGCGACTCCTTTTCGGGTATCTGGATCACAAACCCTCCGAAGTTTATGAAGCCCTAGGCTCTATAAGCCCAAAGTCCTTAACACTTTCAGAGTTCACCCTCAACACTTTCAGGGTTCGTTTAGTCCCCAAAGTCAAGACGTCGAACTTTGGGGGCTAGAAACCCCAAACTTCAAACCCTAAACCCTAAACCCTAAACCCTATACCCTATGAACCCTAAACCCTAATCAAGCCTCGCTGTCGACCTGCGCCTGGCCTGGCCCTTTGGATCCGCACCTACGGGCTGCTGCGAGAGTTTAGTTTTTTTTCATGTTTGTTTATGTTTTTTTTGCTTCGTGGTTTTGATGGTTTTCTGGGTTTGGGGGTTGTTGATGGGCTTTGATTTTTATTGTTTTGTCGTTGGTGATATGTTTCTGTGGGGGAGGGACGCTTTTGTTTTTCGTATGGATTGTTTGATGTTTTTTTTGCCGGGGGGAGGGGGAGTTGGGAGGTTTTAGGATGCTTTAGGGTGTCAGGGATTTCAGGGTTTAGGGTGTTTGGGAAGCTTTATTGGGGTTTCGGGTTTTGACGCCCCTTCGCTCGACAAGTTCACTGAAGGCATCTGGTGACATGCAATCCGGCCTTCACATGTCTTGACTGTTGTATAGGATTTAGGGTTTAGGGTTCAGGGTTTAGGGTGGCTTTCTGAGGAGTTGTGTTGCGCGAAGAGAAGCTGTTGAGCTGGGCGCGGCGTGCCCGCTAATGAGTTGAATCTCCTATCGTGGGTCGAGGCACTGCCGCAAAGCCGCCAGACAATGCAGACCCTTGACGAGTTCCTGCAGCCCGCTTGGAGCTCAGCTGCAAAAAGCGTATGTGCGTCGTTGTCAGGGCCTCCGCATGTAGGCGCAGTCGCATCGCAGTGTGGATTTGGGCATCCGGACTTTTAGTGTGGAGACACCCGCAACTAGGGAGACTCTATTTTCACCTGCAAGAACTGCGCAAGACAAAGCCTCATGCCGAACAGCTGTCTTTGCGAGGAGGCGCTTGTGACGCTGGACGAGTTCTTGCAGTGTGTGCGGAGCCAAGAGATGTTCACAGTTTTTCCTGGGCAGTATCGCCAGATTGCCTCTGCCTGCGACACACTGGTCTCCTGACCTCCAAGACTCACAAGGGCCGATGAGAATCTGAGAAGGTATGTGTAGACAGCCAGCACTGGATGAAATACTGATACAGCGCCCATGCTAAAGCGACGTTCCAAGCATTAAGTTCACCGAAGCCCTCAGCAATGACACCTGCAGAAGATGATCTCCTTAAGGCATCTGAAGTTAAAGCCCTAAACCCTAAGAAAACCCTACACCCGGACACCCTAAAAACCCTAAACCCTAAGATTAAACCCTGAAACCCTCAAACCCTAAACCCTAGACCCTGAAAACCCTTAACAGAAAGCTTCAGGGGCCGCTTTTCCTCAGGATGCTGAGCCTCCAACGCTGGACGAGTTCCTGCACGACGACGGTGGCAGCCGGGAGCTTCTTCGCAAGAAGGCTGCTGGCGGTCGTTGAATCGAAGGTTGGTAGGGTGTTCAGGGTTTTAGGGTTTTAGGGTTTAGGGTTTATAGTTGGTAGGGTTTAGGGTTTATAGTTGGTAGGGTTTTAGTGTTTAGGGGAAGGTTTAGGCCAGGGTTTAGGGATTTAGTTAGTGGTTTAGGGTTTGTTAGGGTTTCCTGAGCTGGCACGGCTACTGCCTAGATGAGGCTTTTCCCTCAGTGTACCCATTTAGTGACGATTCGGAGTTTTCCCCCGTAGCTTGCAAAAAGGATGATCCCGACTGCGCCACTTCCTGGCTTGTTGTTGCTTTTGCCCTTTGCGGATGTTGTCCATAAGTTGTTCCTGGGGAGTAGAAAACTGGACTCTAAAGCCTAAACCCTGAATCCCAAACCCTGAGTCTCTGCTTTTGTAGGATCTCCTTCCATGCATTGCCGGTAGAACGCTAAAGTCTACTAGGCATTGGACTGCAGCTTTTCTAGGGTTTATAGGGTTTAGGGGTTTTGGTGTTTAGGGCTTGCGGTTTAGAGGGGCTTTCTTGCGCATGGTTGCAGTGGAGCTTGTCACGGTACTTGCATGGCAGAGTGTCGACCTTGCTAGCGTTTCCCAAAAGTGAAGGGGGGCCCGGGGAACTGGCAGGGAGCTTCGGCCAAGCGTGACGCAGTCGAGGCGCGCACGCGTGTGCACCATACCTGCTCTATATGCAAATAGGCATCCCCATGCGGGTCAGCGAGTTGCGAGCCGCAGGTGTACCTCTACATGTACGATATCTCGGATGGACTTGCTGGCAGATGGACTCGCTTTAAGGCAGGTTGCTCCATGAGGGCCAGTTGTAATCACCCGCCAAAATGGGTACATTCCTACAAGAAGGATCTTCGGAGTAGTCTTATTCCGGAAAAGCCCCCAGAAATGTCCTATACCCTAGACCCTACACCCTAAACCCTAAACCCTAAACCCTAAACCCTAAACCCTAAACCCCAAACCCTGTCCCGTGTTCGGACTTCTTGCAGGGCATCTGGCACACGGGGGTCGTGGTGCGCTGGCCCACCAAGTTTCCGAGCGAGGGCAGCAGCCCCGGCAGTGAAGGGATGCTTTCAGCGTAGTGTAGTGACTGTATCCCCCTTGGGAAGTCTTCTTTACTTTTGTTTATACACAAGCCCAAGAGGATGTTAAACATACTACTTTTATTAAGGTTCTAAGGGGAGTATAGGTGAAGTGAGCAGCTTCTGAGGAACACAGTACTGGCAAGGAAAGGAGATCTACGTGTCTTGGGCCGAGCACGCGGCTTAGTGCATGAGGAGCAGTGCTGCCTTCTCATATCTTCCTTGCCTTGCTTCCTGAAAACTCCAGGGCTTCAATCAAGCCAGCGGGTGTGGATATGGGTTCTGCCTCAGTCTGCACCTGGCTGCAAGGTTTGCGGGCTACACGAACCCGGCCGAGAAGAGGCCCCCGTCATGCTGGCGTGCGTTTTTTGTGTTGTGCGGCTGTTGTTGAAAGTGCCATTACCATCACAAGCAGGTTTCTCGGTTACACTTCCCGGTCCTGCGCCGGCACGCTGGACTTCGTGAACAGGCGCCTCTGCCTGCCCTCAACCCTATAAACCCTAAACCCTAAACCCTAAATCTGCTTGCCCCAAGCCCTAAACCCTAAACCCTAAACCCTAAATCCTACTGAAGACATGGGCAGCTTCAATCCCCCGAGGCAGCGGAGGAAGTCAATGCACTACCATCTGCTGCCGGCGCCTCATGCGGATCTTTGTGTCGCTTGCATCCCTTCAGCACGCGGGCTCGGCTGATCATTTGGGGGTTCACGAAAATAATCGACTCCTACTCCTAAGTTATTATATAAACCCCAAATAGTAGGAGTCCCTTAGAATACCAATAAGGTGCCTCTAACTTCGCAAACCACCATGTGTGTGCTTAGGTACCACAACTGCAACCACTTCTCCGATGCGCTTGCGATGTTCCTGTTGAACAAGCGCCTGGGCCAAGATAGCCAGCGACAAGCCACAAGTCTGCTTGCGTTTTCAGGCAGCGTTGACATGTGGGCAGTTCCCTAAATAGGCTTGGGGATGTACCCCACATAAAGCTAGCCCCCCCCCCCCCAAAAAAAAACTACCCTAAACCCCAGAGGCACATCCCGAAGGATGTCTTGGGTCAGCCGCAGGAGGTGACGCACTCAGAGCCTTTTGCCGTCGGACAGGATTTTAGGACTTAGGGTTTACAACGGTTTAGTGCTTAGTTCGCCACAGTCATTCTGAAACGTGCCGCGTGCAGCAACATGTTGCGTTGATGCACAGCGTACGTGCTCACACTTCTTGCTGCGAGCAGGGGCGCATGAACATTTTGGTCGGTCAAGAGTACCCTAAGAAACCTGTGGCTGTCCCACGTTTCCCATATACAATACCCTCTCGCCGGCGCAGACTCTGCCACATCTATCTCCAAGCGCGCCAGTTTAGGAGGTCTTGGGAGCCTGGCTTTCGTGTCCAGGCATGTATAGCCGTTTGTGCCACAGTTTTGTTTCCTCTAATGAATCCTACATTGTTCCTATCGGGAACATGTGCAAAGCGTTGCTGCAGACGTGAAGCACACAACGTCGGGTTCTTTGCGGCATGCATTGCGAAGCAGCGGTTGACAACCCACCTCACACTGAAGGACATGCCCAAAAGTGTAGAAGTGAGATCGGTGAGATCTTGCTGCAATTTCTATCTGACGAGTTCACAGCATACATAAGGCATACAAGACACACACACACACAGCACAGATGTAGCCTTCTGATTCGTGAAATGTCGTGGGAGCGCCACGCGGCTGTTTCATCCCGGGAAAGACATGCAGCACCAGTGCACCAGCAGTTCGTTCTTTCATGGAGCATCAATCCAGGCGCTACGCTCGTATCCATTGTTGACACGGCTACTGCCCAGCTCTCAGCTGAAACCGACGTGAGCCAGAGGTTAAGGGTAATGGTGCGCCTACATGGTGGTTTCCGAAAATAGGGGGTACCTTCTTGGGGTCCTCATTACAAGGGAATCCTACTATTTGAGGGTCTACTCTAGGGGTCCCCCATTTTCGTAACCCCCACATGAACTTAATGTGACGATGTGCTTGGCAGCGCGATCTTGAGAAGGCTCGGACACTTGTCCAAAGCCTAAACCCTAAACCCTAAACCCTAAACCCTAAACCCATATGCAGGCTATGTGCTCAAGCCTGCTGCGAGACATGGCTTCCGCCTGACTCGGTGTGCCTTGCTCGCATGATGCCTTGTCGGGTTTTGGGGGTTTAGGGTTTGGGGTTTGGGGTTTAGGGTTTAGGGTTTAGGGGTTTAGGGGTTTGGGGTTTGGGGTTAAGGGATAGCCACTTTTTCAGAAGTCTGCAGCGCGGAATGCTGGAATGGATCATGAAGTGCAGCTGCTCATAGTGGGATGGGGCAGAGTGCCTCTTCGGGATGCAAAGAAGAGCCAAGGGGCTAGGGTTCAGGGTCAGGGTTTAGGGTTTAGGGTTTAGGGTTTAGGGTTTAGGGTTTAGGGTTTAGGGTTTAGGGTTTAGGGTTTAGGGTTTAGGGTTTAGGGTTTAGGGTTTAGGGTTTAGGGTTTAGGGTTTAGGGTTTAGGGTTTAGGGTTTAGGGTTTAGGGTTTAGGGTTTAGGGTTTAGGGTTTAGGGTTTAGGGTTTAGGGTTTAGGGTTTAGGGTTTAGGGTTTAGGGTTTAGGGTTTAGGGTTTAGGGTGAGTCTTTGCGAGGAAGACCAAACAAGTGGCTTTCTTGGAGAGATCCGCTCTCATTCAAGGCCTCGCACGGTCCTGGCGTATGTTTCTCCTCGAGGAAACTATGAACTGGTGTGTGCGATGCTACACCCCAAACCCCTAAGCCCTATAACCCAAAACCCTGAACCCTGAACCCTCAACCCCTAAGCCCTAAAACCCAAAACCCTGAACCCTAAACCCTAAACCCTAAACCCTAAACCCTACACCCTACACCCTACTCTCGCACTAGGCCGCAAAATGCTGGGCCGGGAGCTCTGCCTAACGCACGTCATCGAGCCTGAGATGCAGGACCCTCTGTGCTAGGGTTTAGGGTTTAGGGTTTAGGGTTTAGGGTTTAGGGTTTAGGGTCAAGGGTCAAGGGTCAAGGGTCAAGGGTCAAGGGTCAAGGGTCAAGGGTCAAGGCTTGAAACTTGGGGTTTCAAAACAGGGTTCAAGGTTTGAGCAGGGTTTATGTGGTTTTGTAGGGTTTACAGGGCTTCATAGGCGGGTTTATAGGGGGTTGTAGGGCTTATAGGGTTTTGCAGGCTTTATAGGGGAGGCATTTGGAGGTGTACAGTCGGGTGCTTTTGGTTCAATACCCTTGCAAGTATGAGATGTAGGGTTTGCGGTTAGGGATTGTGGCACTCCAAATGCTTAAGAACCCCCCCCCCCCCCCCCCCCCAAGAAAAAAAAACAAAACAGAAAATTATTCTTACCTACAAGGGTAACATGGGGATTTTTGTCTTCTTTTTTTTGGGGGGGTTCTTAAGCAAACAGTAGTTTAATGAGAGTTTGGGTAATCGAGGGAGATGTCGTAAATTGTCTTTATGAGATTGGTTGTATAAGGAGTGAAAGCACGCATGAAAACCAAGCGAAGATAGGGGCCATAAAGAATGCTAACAAAAGGCCCTTGTATTTAGTTCTTTTTCGTGGGCCTTTTATTATTATTGTTATTGTGGTGGAAAAAGGCCTCATAAAAAATGCTATGTTTCTAGTCTTTTTCTCGTTTCTTTCGTTCACTAAATTAGGTATTTCGGGGCTTCAACCGGTTTAAGGGTTCGTCTAGGATTTGCAGACTTCAGGTGCGTCGGGGTTTAGGGGCAAAGAGCCCCCTGAAGCAAATCAGGACTCCTCAGAGCCTTATATTATAGGGATATAGTTTATAGGGTTTAGGGTTTAGAGTTAAGGTACATTCTACATAGGGTTTGGGAAGGTTGAGCTGCATGAGAAGCATCCTGCAAGTTGCGCCGCAGCCCCGTGAGGCGCGCGCGCCTTGCGTCCTTGACCTGGGCTGGTGGCAGGGCACCTGGCGGTGGGGGAGGCCCAAGGGAACTTGCGGCGGTTTGGCAGCTTAAGAGTCGGGTTTAGGGTTTAGGGTTGCGATATGGGACTTTCCGAAATTACTGCTAGGGTTTAAGGTTTAAGGTTTGGGGCTACCTTCTTGGGAGGTCCTTACAAGAATCTATTTTGGGGGTCTATGCTAGGGTTTAAGGCCACATTAGGGTTTAGGGTTTAAGGTTTAGGGCTACCTTTTCAGGTTTAGGGCTGCCTTCTTGGCAGGTCCTTACACAAGAATGAAATCCTACTATTTTGGGGGTTTGTATCAAGGGTCGCTTCTTTTCGTAAACTGCATTAAGCTGCCATATGGGATCCCTGTTGTTATGCGAGCGACTGTGTTGTGTTATGATGTCGTACTCTAGACTACGCTGTGCTGTTCTTCTTTTCCATATTACCCTTTGTCATTATGTCATCATCTTCAATATATATTGGTTTGCGCACTGTTCTTCATTATACTGCAGTCGACCATGCACCCTGGAGACCCTCAAGCCCAAACCGCAAACCCCAAACCCTGAACCCTGAACCCTAAACCCTAAACTTTTAACCCCTAAACCCTAAAACCTATTATAAACCCTAGACCCTAAACCCTACACCTCAAAACCGAAACCCTAAACCCTAAACCCTAAACCCTTGCAGGCGGCATCGCGACGTGACACGGACCCCGAGCGCCATGGCCTCAGGCGGCTCGTGAGGTGCCAGTGACGGTTCCCAGTGTTTTTGGTATTTGTTAAAGGGTTACGTGGGTTTTCAAGGGTTTGAAAAGGTTTTAAGGTTTCTTGAGGTTGTTTTCAAGGTTTTTCGGGTGTTTAGGAGTCAGGGTTTTTAAGGTTTTTTTCGGCTTTTTTTGGCGCTTAAAATCTTGCAAAGATTCTGCAGGGCATTGAGGCCTTAACCTGGGGTTAGGCGCCTCACCCGGGCATGCCTTACGATATAGCTTATAGAACCCTTTCAATTGTGGAATAGGGGGGGGTACATTAGGTACCTAATTTTCGAGTTACCTACTCAGAACCGGGATTGCGAAGCTTGCGAAAAAGGGACCGCAGGCAGAAGTCAAGAGCGTCACAGAAACACGTGCAGCAACCACGTAGCTCCCAGATTGTAGCACTTAAGTTGTCACACTTGGACTGAAGCCTGCAAGCCCAGAGAGAAGGTGTTTTCAGGGCTTTCGCCATGGAAGAGCCTGCTGCTGTCGAGTCTGCAACGGACTCCACCACCGTCTCCCTCGAGATGGAGAAGCTGCGCTTTTTTCTTGACTCAGAGTTCGCGCATCAACGCGAGATGCGGGAGAGGCAGGATGGCCTGCTTGCCGACATCTACGACAAGGTGTGTCAGATCAAGCCGATGCATTCCATGCAGTCCATGCCCCCGACGCACCCGCGTGCTGAGCCACCGAAGCCTCGAAGCAGCATACCAAGCGTTGACGACGAGCGGAGCATTGGGTCGCTCTGCTCGCCTAGTAGCCTCGACGGCCCACGGGCCGGGGCCCGGTCCCGTGCGAACACCGAAGGCTCGGTGTCATCTGCCATGGACGGCTCGGGTATGGACTCGGGTGACGGTGACATCGACCAGTCTAGTCGTCAGCTTGCGCAGAAACGAAAGCTGCGAAGCAGCTTCCGGAACTCTTTCGTTCGCAGAGATCAGTTGAAGCACGAGGAAACAGCCGCGGCGGCATCGCGTAATCTGGCGAGCTTCAAGGCATACAGCATAAAGGCATCGCCTGAGACTGGCGCCCTGCGTGCCCTCGGGCAAGCAGTGATCAAGTCGAACGTATTCACAGGGACGATCACCTTCTTGATCTTCCTGAACGTGGTGCTGCTTGGTGTAGAAGTTGACATGTCTGCTAACTTGGGGCAGGACAAAGTGCCTTCGTGGTTTGGGACAGTGAATGCCATCATCGTCCTGATCTTTGTTGGGGAGGTCTTTCTCAAGTGCCTGGCGTATGGCTTGCACGAATTTTGGTGCGGCGCTGATTCCAAATGGAATATCTTTGATTCCGTCATCATTGCGGTCTCGGTCGTGGAGACCCTCATTGACGCTCAGCGTAGCACTGGTACCATAATTATACCAGAATAAGATATCGACACAGTAAGATGAGAAACATCTAGTATTGTTGTAGCAACAGCAATAGAACGTGAAAAACTAATCAAACAAAAAAGAGAAACAGTATAGTACTGTTCCAAGATGAAGATACAAAAACAGCAGGAATGTCATAGCAACAGCAATATAATGTGAAAAGAATAATCAAACAATAAAAAGAGAAACGTATAGTAATGTTCCAATATGAAGATGCTAAAACAGTAAGATAAGAAACGTACAGGAATGTCAATAGCACAACAAGTGTGGACACCGCAGATGTGAAGGGAAGGGTGCCCATTGCTCGAAGCCCTAAACCTAAAGCCTAAAGCCTAACCCTAAACCCTAAACCCTAAACCCAAAACCCTAAACCCAAAACCCTAAACCTGAGGATCTTTGGGCCCAAATGATGGCCCATTCCATGGCTACTTCGACACATCTGCGCCTCGGACCAGAAGCCGGAACAACTCTCTGAAGTTGTGTTTTCCCACGTGCAGTTCAGGGGTAGTTGCCAAAGTGGAGTTTTCTTGATAGACTTGCATCTCCTTACTTGGCCAATAGGTGAGTTGTTAAAAAAACCTTTTGGGCTGCTTTTTTTGTGGGAGCCACGAAGATCCGCTGAAGCCTTTCTATTCCTTGCCTATTGGAGAAGTACGTTTGTTCCCACACGCTTGATTCCGTGCAGCTGCTGGGAAGTGCTGTCTCGCGAGAGGTGAATACCTTCTCAATTGGGTTTAGGATTTAGGGTTTAGGGCAGGGTATAGGTTTTAGGGGGGGTTTAGGGTTTAGGGTTTAGGGTTCAGGATTCCCATTGCAAAAGCAAGAAAGGCCACCCCCCTGGTAGAAGCGAGAAACTGTCAGCGAAGTCTTGGCAAGCGCGAACATCGTATCACCATTGGAGCGTGTGGCCTCTTACAAGCCTGATCATGTAACATAGAGATGTGATAATATCTGAATCTAGTTGGTAATATACAACTCGGATAGTACAACAATATGATGATACCAGAAAATAGCACAACAGCATAACAAAGCAATAACATAATTACGTGGTAACACAAAAACACTGCAATAACAATCTTTCGAATCACACGCGACCATGTTCGCCTCGAGGCGCCTGATGCGCTCATTACGCTTGGCACGAGCGCTTCGCGGTGTGCGCGTCGTTCGGCTCTTCCGACGCTTGGGCCACCACCAAAAGTTTAGGGCTTAGGGTTTATAAGGGGTTTATAGGGGTTTAGGGGTTCTCGGGGTTCTTAGGGGTTTATAGGTGTTTATAGGGGTTTCGGGGTTTAGGGGTCTAGGGGTTCTAGGGGTTCAAGGGGTTCTAGGGGTTCCAGTGGTTCCAGGGGTTCAGGGGCTTAGGGGTTTAGGGTTTAGGGTGTCCCTCTCTGGGTCATAGAGCACGGCACCTGCTAAAACCGGACCCGCAGAAGGCACCCTGTTGCCGACAGCTGCCCGAAGGGGTTCGGAGTGGAGCCTGGAGGGTGAGGCCTTGAGGCTTCATGATTTGGGGTTTAGGGTTTAGGGGGTTTAGGGTTTAGGGTTTAGGGTTCAGATGGTCATGTGTTATCTGAAGCTACTTTGCATGTCTTGATGAGAGCCAGGGCCCAGGACTCTTGGCAGCTTATCGCCCCCTGGGTTTAGGTTTAGGGATCAGGATGAAGCAGATTGAAGGAGCACCCCCCTCCCGCTCCCCCGCAGTATGCCCAGCAAGATGTGTTCACCATGGTGCCTTGATGTTAGTGTCATGACTTGTGAAAATGGCATATCACCCTAAAGTCTAAACCCTAAACCCCTAAACCTACCACGGCAGACTCCTCCCCTGGCAAAAGTCCGCCCCCCCCGAGGATACGTGAGTGCCTTGCGCACCCTGGTGCTGTGCATCGTCAGTACCATGGCCTCCCTCGTCTGGACGCTGGTGCTGCTGGTTCTGATCTTCTACACCTTCGGAGTGATACTTACTCAGGAGCACTGCTACGATTTGCTTAAGAACCCCAAAAGGATATGCAATAATAATTATCCCTTATAAGGAATCGTCTGCTGCTATTTGCTTAAGAGCCCCCCAAAATATCAAGTGATAATTCCTATATAACCCTTATAAGGAACAAGTCCTTATAAGGGTTCTTAAGCACATAGTAGACTGCGGGTTTGGGGTCGGGTCGTAACGCCGGGTCATGAATGAGCCTACCGATTGCGAAGATTTGTCACGGGTACGTGAGCAGATAGATTCTCCAAGATATTCTACAAGCCGTTGGAAGGACTGCGAAGTAGTATACCTAGACAAACCTGCACCCATCAGATTTGCACTGACGTCCTACTATTTGCTTAAAGAACCCCAAAAAGCATCCAAAATAAATTATCTACTGTATATTGCCCTTATATAAGGAATAATATGTTATTATTATTATTGTTAATATTATTATTATTATTATTATTATTATTATTATTATTATTATTATTATTATTATTATTATTATTATTATTATTATTATTATTATATATATATATTTATTTTTATTTTTTTTTTTTTTTTTTTTTGGGGGGGGGTGGGGGGGGCTCTTACGCAAATAGTAGTATCAAGCCTGACTTCCCTCAGCTGGTCACGGACCATTGCCGGGACGCCGCCGTCCTCCACAGCGGCGGAGATCTCAACGCCGTGCCCGAGTGCGATGCGAGCTTGGCGCGCTACTGGCAAAGTGCTGCTTGTCTGACACAAGAATGTTCAGGGTTTTAGGGTTTAGGGTTTAGGGGTTAGGGTTTAGGGTTTAGGGTTCGGAGAGTTATGGGCGCTTCGGACCAGACCTGACGAAGAGTTCTGACAAATTCTTTCCCATCAGCGTTGGAGCAAGGTGCCCCACAGCATGCTCACCCTCTTCATGTCCATCTCCGGCGGTGTCAGCTGGGAGGACCTCCAGCGGTTCCAGCTTAAAGTTCTACTTACTGTCTACAGGTCGTACAGGGGTCGGAAGAAGTCCTCAGAAATATTTCCTTATGGCCGCTGTTGTACTACTTCCACAATACCCCCCCCCCCCCCAAGAGCAAAAAACAAACTACTCTTAAGGCGCCTATACTAACTACATACGGGTCGGCCGACAGAGGACGCGCTGAGGCCCCTGGAGGCCGTCTCGCCACTCGCCGTGGGGCTGATGGTCTGCTACATTGTGATCACCGCCAGGCCCTTAAAGAGCTCTTGCAGAGCCGCTGCTCCATCATCCATAGAACCCTATATAACCCTTGTATACCTCTCTATATAGCCAATTGTTGTTTACCCCTTTTTTTGTGTCTTAATACCTCTCTATAACCCTATAAACACCCAATATAAGCCCACAAACCCTATCTGATCTGCGGCGCTGCGACACGGCGGCTTCGGGCGCCTGGCCTTAGGTCCTGGCAGTCCTGAACGTGGTCACAGGAGCCTCTCTGCTGCAAGCCTCTCTGTTTTTATTTCCCGATCTGTCAAGTTTCATGATGGTCCATAGAGCTGTTGTTTGCGCATCACGAGGTAGGCTGAACTCTGCCCTAGGTCACTCTTGTTGAGTCGGTCGGCTAGGGGAATTAGGGTGCAATGCCTTCACCTGATGGTTTGCTGGCGCTTGAGCAGACCCATTTCTTCATTGCCCTTGCCATGTTCCTACTGTCAGTAGCCTACTGTTGAGGTTTTCTGCAACACCGCCATTGAGAGCGCGCATGCCGACAAGGAGCTGTCTGATGTGCGCAAGAAGGGTTTCTCTGGCAGTTTGTTTCGAGGGCCTGTTGGTTTCGGCGCGGCCACCTTAGTCCCATTTTGCAGGACGCACCCGCCGTCGGTAGTCGCACCTGTTTCCAGATATGCGTTCTAACGAAATGCTAGCAGAATAATGTCGTGAACAATGTGAAGATACACATATACATGTACATATACATATACATATACACAGATAGATCTCATTTTCCGTCGCAACTGGGGCATGTCATGTGTGCAGTGGCCGCTGTCATGCAGAGAGCTCGCCTCCCCCCCCCCCCGCCCCGCTGCAGGACATCGCTGCCATCAAGCAGATCCACAAGCAGGCGGCCCAAGTGCAGAGCTTGCAGTGGCTCGGCAAAGTTCTCAACTGGGTAGGCCCCCTGGGAGTTTTTGTTCTTTCATGTTCCCTTATTGGGTTTAAGAGGACCATCTTTAGGAGTGCTTTTCAGAGTCCCTTATTGGGTTCAAGAGGGCCAGAGTTAGAGGGTTTTTTTTCTTTTCAGCCAGGGTTCAAGGGCCACCCTAGTGATACAAGCGCTTTCGGATCCTCATTTGGTTCGGGCCTGCCGTCGCCAAGGAAGATTTTTCGAGAGATGGACACGCAGAACTGCAACGTGGTTAGCTTGCAGGACTGGTTTAGGGTTTCGGGTGAACTTTTAAGAGTTATTCAGCATACCCCAAACCCATACCCCTTAACCTATAAAAGGAGAACAGAAGCAAGGATGTTACCATACCCCTTAGCTTTGTTTGAGGGGTATGCCTACACGTGGTATGTTGAACATTTCTCAGAAGTTCACCCTAAACCGTCACCGTAAACCCTGACCCCTTGGAAGTTAAGCCCTGCCCCCCTGAGCCACCGGGATGCGAGCGACTGGGTGTTTGCCAGGAGTTTGAGGAGGCCATGAGCCAGCAGAAGCCGCCTGGCCGGCACAGAGCGTGCCCCCTGATCCCCTGTATATTGATGCAGTATAAACCCTAAACCCTAAACCCTAAACCCTAAACCCCCTAAACCCCTAAACCCTATAAGCCCTGAGGATGGCCAGCTTCTTGCAGTCCATGGGGATCTCCACGGAAGACGTGTGGACACTCTTCATGCCCCTGGACCTGATTCGGGCATTTCCCAAAGTAGGGGTTTAGGGTGTAGGGTTTAGGGCTTAGGTTTAGGGTTTAGGGTTTAGGAGTACCCTTCCTATACCCCAAAATAGGATGGAAGCCCCTTCCTTACAGGGACCCCCAAAAAGGGTATTTATATTTTCGGAAATCCACATTTCAAGCATCCTCGGAGCTCTTTGTTGGAGGGCCCTTGGCTTTTATTTGCAGAGTTTAAGGTTTAGGGGTTGGGCTTAAGAGGGTTTAGGGTGTAGGGTTTAGGGTTCAGGGTTTATGGTTTGGGTTTAGGGGTTGGGCTTGAGAGGGTTTAGGGTGTAGGGTTTGGGGTTTAGGGTTTAGGGGTTTGGCTTAAGAGGGTTTAGGGTGTAGGGTTTTTTTGGTGTTCTCTTCAAGGTTGTATAGGGTCCACTGGCAGGGTTTTAAGAGGCTTTTGACGTGCGCTTCAAAAAAGCAGATCGCGAGGATCATGGATGCAGATCGAAGTGGCCTCATTGACCTGGAGGAGCGCCTTGGCGAGCTCTCAATATCACTGACCCTTGGGTAGTTTTTTGGAGGGATGTTCCCCCTTATACTAACAGCCCTTCATAGGGACCATAACAGCCCTTAATAGGGAGTAGACTATAATCCCTGTGAAGGACTGGTAGTATGAGGGGGACATCCCAGGGGTAGTTCTCTAAATGGGCATTTCCCGAAATAGGGGGGGTACCCCTTCAGTACCCCAAAAAGAATGGAATCCCCGTAAAGTGCCCCCCCCCCCAAAAAAGAGTACCTCTATTTTTGGAAATTTTGAAAGGAGGGTCCCTTTTCGCGGGTCCTCTTTAGAAGGCGCCGTGCTATACAGTATGGGGTTAGGAAAGTCAGGGACCCCTAACAGAGACCCCCAACATAGCAGGATGCCCCTTAAAACAAGGACCCGAAGAAGGCACCCCGAATTTCGGAAGCCCGAAATCCTAAACCGCCTAAACCCTAAACCCCTAAACCCTAAGGAAACCTCCATATAGGGACCCCCAAAAGTAGAGAGCTGCTCGAGTTGTTCGCTGAGGTTTGTCTCTGGCTGCATGAAGAAGCTTGGGTCGCACTAGCTGCAAGATTGGTTTAGGGTTTGGGGTTTAGGGAAGTTTGGGAAGTTTAGGGTTTAGGGTTTAGGGTTTTAGGGTTTTAGGGTTTTAGGGTTTTAGGGTTTTAGGGTTTTAGGGTTTTAGGGTTTTAGGGTTTAGGGTTTAGGGCTTTTTTGGCTCTGCACGCCCTCTGAGGTTGTGTGGGCCTGCCAAGAGCTTGCAGTTCGCCATGATGAGCTACGAGAACAAGCTCACGCGGCAGGCCTTTCATGGCAACCCTAAACCCTAAACCCCAAACCCTAAACCCTAAACCCTGTTTACGAAAGTGGGGGACCCCGAATATAGACCCCCAAATCGTAGGATCACCTGAAAACAAGGACCGCAATAAGGTACCCCTAATTTCGGAAACCCCCCAAAGCCCTTGATAGAGGGTTGCCGATATTAGGGGGTAGCTTATTCGGGTCCTCATTATAAGGGGAATCCTACTATGTGGCCATATTCCTATTTCGGAACCCCCCCCCCCCCCATATCTTGACATCTGCTACCCAGAAGAGAAGCCCTCATCCCTACTTTTAAAAGAAGAGACCTTCAGGGTGGAACCCTTGAGCCCCATTGATACTAGATCTGACATCTGCAAAGACGATAGAAGGCGATCAAGAAGCTCAACGTGGAAACGGCAGACATCCGGCGCTCTCTGTCCAGGCTGGAAGCACAGACGCTTCATCCGCACAGCGCTTTGGGAAGTTTTCTTTTTCGGCTTGTCAGGGTTTAGGGTTCAGGGTTCAGGGTTTAGGGTTCAGGGTCCAGGATTCAGGGTTCAGGGTTTAGGGAGAGTTTAAGGTTTGTGGGAGCTCTCCTCACGAAGACCTTGGCGCCGGAGCCAAGGACGGTGGCGCTGCAGCTGCAGCGAGAGGCGGTGAAGGTCGTGACGCAGCTCTGAGAGCGCGACGCGGAGCCTCGAAAAGCCTGCAGACACGAAGCTAGGTAGGCCCCTGGATGTATGTTGATAACTTTCCTTATTTGGGTTTACGAGGATCCAAAACCCTAAACCCTAAACCCTAAGCCCTAAACCCTAAACCCTATTCAGGAGCATCTTTTCAGCGGGTTTTAAGGGCCATCCTAGGAAGTTTATAGGAGTGATTCTACGAGTGCCGCAGTCGCGGTTGAACTTTTACAATCTCCCCAGCTTCTGACCCGGCTCTTGTATTGGGTGGATGGTCAAAATCATGATCCCGTTTTGGGGTGCCCTACATATTTAGGGGGCCGTATTATAGTAGGGATCCAAAAAAGGGACCATAACTTTTGACAACCACCCAATAGAGCTGCCGGTGTTGCCATATGATCCGGTGCTGCGGTACCCCCGAGTGGAAGCAGCCGAAGGCAACTGCCTCCAAGAGGCGTTGCAAAGAATATCCGGTGCGAAAAAAGGTGACATGGGGAACTCCTGCACAGGGCAAGTTACTTCGTCATGCTGTAGATCTCCATGGCCTCTGAAGCACACACACATCTGTCAGGGTAAAACCCAATGAATGGTCAGGCATTCATCTTTCCATCGTGCCCTAAACCCCAAACCCTAAACCCTAGCCCTAAACCCTAAGTACCCTAAACCAACAGCTAGGTCGTGGCCCAGGCATGACCGCCTCGAACAGCGCTGCGAATTCCAGGCGGGCAGGGGGTTTAGGGTTTTGGGTTTAGGGTGTAGGGTTTGGGTACTTATAACTCCAGGGTATTCAGGTTTTTGTTTGGGGGTATTTAGGTTTAGAGTATTTATGGTTTAGGAGGTGAATTCCGGTGCCCAAACACGGTTCCGTGGTGGGGATGCTCGGGGGCTTCGCCGGGTGGAAGACGTCATACGTTGCCCACCGAAACCTGTAGCTCAGCCCCGATTTTGCAGGGTTTAGTAGTTTGTATATATATATATATATGTATTTATCTATTCATTATTTGTTTATTTGTTTATATATATATATATATATGTATATGTTAAATTTTGAAATAGAACTCTAAGAGTACAAAAATCTCATGATATCATAGCAAATCAGGGTGCACTGCAACAATGACCTTGAACCTAGGGCCTCGTCGTCGGTGGCGCTACCTTTAACATTGCTGTTTTTGAGGTTTGGGCTCATGATTTTGTGGGGTGAGCTGGTTATGGCTGGAAATCAGAAGCTAATGGAGCATTGAACACAGAACCCTGCCATAATCTCTATGACCTTTGAATAACCCTAAACGCCCTAAACGCGCAGCCTTGCGAGCGTCGCTCGCTGCCCTGTGGAGGGTTTATACGGGCCAATTGGGGGTTGTCAACCGCTCATGCGAAAATCCCCTCAAAGCCCTAAATCCCTACTCCTCAAAAGGATCCTTTAAATCGAGGAAGGGCTTAAGCCTTGAACCCTGTACACTGTACACCCTACACGCAAAGTGTGCCGAATCCCTTTTCAGTGCCAACCCTAAAAGGCTCCAATCCCCCCGTTAGTTACCAGGAATTTCCCCTGACATGTTTCGGGCTTATAGGGTTGAGGATATTCTTCAAAGTCCACCCGAGATCCTCCTATCCTGAAGGGGAAGCAGTTCTCTGGGGTGCGAGCCGACCACGGGGCCATAAGACTACTCTCTCTCTCTCTCTCTCTCTGAGAAGGTGGCCCCAAAACTTAACGACTCTGACCCTATAAACCCTCAACCCTATAAGCCCTATCAACCCCGTGATTAGGTTTGTATAGCCTGAACCGGTCTGAGAAGAGCGCCCTGTCATGGGGTCGGGGGGTCCTTACACATGAGTTTTTGCTACAGGCGACGACGAGAAGGTGGAGCTGTGAGCCCTTGTGAGCCACGGCAAGACTCAGGAGAGAAAAAAGCAGAGTGCGCATGCTGCTTCTTTCATATCCTATGCCCTAAACCCGAAAATGACCCTAAACCCTTATAAACCCTAAACCCTAAACCCTAAACTTCAGACCCGAAGCCCTAACAGCTGCCGCAGCACTTCAAGCCCCTTCCTGTTGCGGACCCCATGCCCCCCTCCTTTTCCAAGTATGTACCACACAGTCAAGGAATAGGGTTTAGGGTTTAGGGTTTCGGGTTTAGGGTTTAGGGGGGTGTGGGAATAGTCATGATCGTGGGCATCAACAGGCGTGGGGTCCTCTCTCTAGGTATCAAGTCAGTAGATGTCGCAGTTGCAACTAAATCAGTACGTGGACAAGCACGAACTTTCTTCGGCTTCGCAACTCGGGAAGAGCTATGCTTTTTAGGGCACTTTAGGGGTCTCGGGTTAGAAGCCCAGCAGCCCTCAGCCCTTACAAGGGACCACAAGCATCGTCATTGCCCAGGCTGCTGAGGAGGTCAAGAATGGAGTGAAGCAACCTAACACCTTCAGTCGCAGAACCTCGAGAGCCTAAACCCTATGCTCTGACACCCCTAACCCTAAACCCTAATCTCTACAAAGCCTTAACCTGAAACGCCCTCTCACCCTGAACCCCTACACCTTCAACCTACACAGAAACACCTCGTGCCCCTAAACGCCTAAGTTGCTAAAAACCCTAATGCCTGGGAAACCATGTCGTATCCTTCTTCCCTGTTTCGCGGCTTAGGTTCTATAAACTCAGGAAACAAAAAGTGGAGGGTTGAGGGTGGCGCCGCGAAACCTTAGAGAGGGATTCAGGCTTTCAGCCTCAAAGCCGGGTTTCGAGGTGCCACCCTCAACCCTAAAAGGTTAAACCCCAAACCCCAGAAGCATTAGAGCCTCGAAGCCCCAGAAGCCCAAACCTTGTAAACCCCGAAGCCCCCATGTCAAAACCCTACAGCCGACCACACCCTAAACCCTAAACTGGCCCCAAACCCTAAACCCTAAACCCTAAACCCTAAACCCTAAACCCTAAACCCTAGACCCTAGACCCTAGACCCTACACCCTAGACCCCAGACCCTAAACCCTAAACCCTAAACCCTGAACCCTAAACCCTAAGCCCCTAGCCCGCTACGTGCCAGGTTGAGCTCAGCGTCGCCGGCCCGAACGGCCTGCGCACGGCGCGCCTCCCGAATAGCAGCTGCCCCAGCCGAGGGCTGTCGGGGTTTAGGGTTTAGGGTTTGGGGTTTGGGGTTTAGATTTAGGGTTTAGGGTTTAGGGTTTAGGGTTTAGGGTTTAGGGTTTAGGGGGAGGGTTTCAGGGCGTTTTTAGACCCCAAGTGCCCATGATAGGACTCGCAGGCCACCATTTCGCGGTATGTCGCAGGGCTTGAAGGCTGAAGGGCGACGACATTCCTGAGATTTTCTTTGCACTTTGTTTCAGTCAGATGAAGACTTTTCGTTTCATTGCAATAAGAAGAAGTATGGCTTTGCAGTCCGCTGCGAAGTTGACCAGCGGTCGAATCGAAAGCGTGTGTGAAAGCAAATCTGTGTGTGCATACATTTTTTGAGCATTCTCTGAAATATGATCCCTTTCGGGGTCCTTACTATAAGGCGGCCCCTATCATTTAGGGTACCCAAAAAGGAGCCCTAATAAAGAGAACTGGCCTGTTAAACTGCAAATGTTGTCAGACCCCTAAAGTACCCCCAAATAGCAGGATCCCTTTATGATAAGGACCCAGGAAGGTACCCCCAATATCGTAAACCCCATATTCGTGCCTTTATAAAGGCGACATTTCGGGAAACCTTCTAGGGGTAGGACCTTAGATGTACAACCCTGGAGCCTTGAGGTATTCCAGAGAAGCGTGGGAAGCCATTACGCGAGCACAGACATGGGATTCTGTTCCCTGGGAGCTTTTGCAACTTCATGCAAGACCGCGTCTGTGAGCCCACACAATTGCCACTTTTCGGGACCACTTTTCGCCTATAAGGTTGGGTCCTTCGACAACATCGCTGCACTTTGTGCCGACTTTATCACGGCATTCCACTACGGGCACCACGAACTTTCTTACAGCAATTCTCCTCGAAGCCTTTGTGCCTCAGGATCATTGTGGTGAAGCCGCCCTAAGCCCCTCAAACCCTGAGCCCCTTAAACCCCTAAACCCTCAACCCTCAACCCGGAACCCAAACCCGAATCTTCAAGCAAGCCAAAGCCCGCAGGCGATCCTTGCTTGCTGCACTAAGCGCTAAACCCTAAACCCTAAACCCTAAAACCCCTGAACCCCTGAACCCTAAACCCTAAACCCTAAACCCCTAAGCCCCTAAGCCGCTAAACCCTAAACCCTAAACCCCTAAACCCCTAAACACCTAAACCCCTAAACCCTGAACCCTAATCACCCCAGAGCCACACCGCTTGACAGCAAAAAGGTGCGAACACCTCTCCGTGTCGAGGC